AAATGAAACACTTCCAATTTTAAATTCTAGCATGGTTTTTAGGGAAGAAGGGAATGGGATCAGAAGAGGCAAATTGTGTTAAATATCTCAAAAAGGAGAATTGGCTTACCATTATTTAAGTAGTTACTATGACGTAATTAAGAATTGAGAATGTATTTGTTTAACACTTGGAAGCCCTTAAAGAGTCAAACATCCATTATCTACTATATTCAATCACTTACCAAGCCAATTTTATTCGTCTGAAAATTGTAACCTGGTCATTAACCACATTAAAAAAAAAACAATTTGGGGTAATCTAGTCATTTCATACTTTATTTAAATTTTTCCACAATGCAATTCATGAATAATACTTCTTTAAATTTCTATGATCTAAATTGAAACAAACCTAGTTCTAATTGTATGTGAAAACAGAAGACAAAAATAAATCCCTAACATGTAATACTAAATTTTTAACATCTAGACCTATGAAAATTTTGGGCATTCAAGTCAAATATAATAGGATTATGATACAGTATGGTATCTGCATTTTAAAAAATATTGAGTCAGATTTATTGCTATATGAATCCTATCAATAGTCAACAATCAAAAGTACAAAATATACCATAACCATGCCGAATATGGTGCAGTACAGAGATATCATTAACATATGTAGACACTTCGTAATATACATCATTGATATAGTAAAACCTTATTAATTCAGGATAATTTAAACTGATATGTCTAAAACTTGAATTTTTAAAAAGATAGGCCGTTTAAGCACTCACAAGCATTCATTTTTTTTCTTTCAAGCATATAATTTCAAATACACAAATTTGCATTGGCCAAGTTTTACTTATTACAATGCTTTTGAGTATTTGTCTTAATGACAAGATAATGTTTTAAAATTATTATTCTTAACACCTCTAAAATAAAGTTTAAAAATTTGTCTTCAAGATTAAACATTTTTCTTTAAAATCCTGATGATAACCTTTATTACCAAATCCTTTCATCATTTAGTACAAAGTAAACAGCATTCAAGTCTTTGAACCAATGGTTAAAAATTCCAGGTAAATTAGAGGAGTCTTATGGTATCTTAATAAAGTCTTAATAAATGAAGATAAATATCACAGCATGACTTATTTTGGTTATGATGAAGTGAATGATGTCTTTTTTGGTTAGAAGATAATCAGCATAAGTTCAAAGTTTACTATATAATTTTAGTAGTATGGGCTAAAAAATCCTAATACATACTGCCATTTAAGATAATTATTTCGTAAATTTTACCTGTAAGTCGAAGATAAAAATTTTAAGATTTATTGTATTACAAATGTCATGAGCTGATAACACCATAATTTACCCCTCTCCCATTTGAAAGACATCAGGCCATCTATTAATCCATAAATAATGATGTTTCACATACTTCATAGAGTAGCTTAAAACATACCAGCATAAGAAGTAATTAGTATTACATAGTAATTTCCTTTGCCATAGGAATAAATGTTGGACAAAGTCTGGAAACATTTTTTTTTCCAATTTGAATTACAGTAATTTTGCCACAGACCACAGCACTAGTGCATGTGTTACTTTAGACATGCTCTAAGAACAAAACAAAAAATTACTGCAAAAATACATGTCACCAATGTGGAACACACTCAGATTTGTATAAAAGTACTGAACTAATATCCCAAAAAGAGGTATATGTAAACAGTACATAAGGAAGAAATAGTTTTAATATGAAACAATCATTTAAGTCACATACATCATGATAAGAAGCAGGACTTTCTTTTATAAAAGATAATATTTTGACAAACAAGCAACATCATCTACACATCTACAGAACAATAAAGGTACAAGTATTTAAGTTTTAATATAATTGCAAGTAAAGTATTATTGATAAAATATGACAAAGATGACGCTTATCCATTGAGTTTCATTGAAAGTTTTAAATTAAATACAGGCAATCTCTGGTGTATTAATGCCTGGCATATACCTGGCCACAGTCTTTCCTTTATTTCCCCTACATCACTTGTCTTGGGATATGTTAATGCTATCCCTAGCCTTTTTTAATTGAAAGCTCCAGGGGTGCTTTCAAATTTCCATCACTGTACCACAAGTTGGAAGATGCAGATGTGACTTTTGTAATGCTCTACTGAATAGAATAAGTTACTAAAAGTTAGAAATGAGAAGAAAATCTCAAAGTTTAGAATTAGAGGAGAGGAAGCAGTGAAAAGTCACAACAACCTAAAGGAAATGGAAAGTACCCTCAGACAGTACCATCTAATTCACTAAAAGTACTGCTTTCCACAGTATCTGAAATGTGGTCATATTGTCTGAAATGCTAGAAAGTAAAAACGCATTCTTAATAAACATCCTTTTTGAAAAAAGAAATTTAATGACACTTTTCTCACTATCTTCATTCATACCTTAGTAGAAAATGCTTTTCTCTTAAAGTCTAGCCTATTACTGTCACACAAAGACATAGGATTTCTGAGGGGAGGAAAAATTTAAAACGTTGAAGCACCGCGCATCCAGGAGGGGAAAAGACAAGCCTGCTTATACATTTCACCAGAGTTTAGCATGGTAAGAGGGCAAATGCAAAGAAACCCATAACAAATAACTTCCTAATCACATCAGGAAAAAGACAAGACCTCTGTTTCTTTCTCCCTCCTACATTGATTGATAGGTTTCCTAGAGAAAACTGAGAGCTCAGCACGATACTATTAACTAGATTATAGTTTAAATGAGCCTTTAGGAGCTTCCCTATTTCGTAGAGTTCCAAGCCACTATTTACAAATGAACTTTGGGATCCTGGACACTTTTAAACATTTTTTTAATTGAAAAAAATATAAAACAGCACAAATGTTCATGCATATGAAAGCTCTATATACTGCAGAAAGAAATGCAAAACTCTTGAGAACTCCCTTTTAAAAAATCATTGCTTATATATTTTCTTACTACTAAATACAGTTACTATAGTACACTGAACAGTAAGTGCTAAAACCCTAATTTGTTCAAGACAAACAAGTTTGAAAGAATATTGAATGAAGACTCTTGATACTTACTTGGATTGAAGTTGGCAGATTTCATGATGACCCATACTATTAAGAGGGTTTTTTTTCTGCAACTAGGCAGAGTTAGGACTCTAAAACAAACCACCAAAACACTAGATTTTTTTACATTGTGTTTATCTATGAAGCATAAGCACTCGTACAAGAAAATCTTCAGTTTTATGTATATAACCTTCTAATCTGAGTAACAAGAATGATAATAGAAGTACTCTAAAGTATTTCACACAAAAGGAAAACACTGATCACAAATCTAATTCTAAGCACTCTATCTGAAGAATAATTTATCTTTCACAAGCTAAGCTGTTTCAGTATTAGTGAGTCAAGTAACACCTAGAAGCCTGTGGACCAGAAACTGTCTAGTGCATGAGCAAATCAAGTTCTGAGAAAGAAACTGACGCTTTTTAAAATTTTCTGTCTGCCTGGGTGTGATAGCTTACGCCTGTAATCCCAGCACTTGGGGAGACTGAGGCAGGCAGATCACTTGAGGTTAGGAGTTTGAGACCAGCCTGGCCAACATGGTGATCGCTGTCTTTACTATAAATAGAAAATTTAGCTGGGTGTGGTGGTGGGAACCTGCAATCCCAGCTACTCCGGAGGCTGAGGCAGGAGAATTACTGGAACTGGGAGGTGGAGGCTGCACTGAGCCGAGATGATGCCACAGCGCCCCAGCCCAGGTGACAGTGCAAGACTCTGTCTCAAACCAAACCAAACCAAACCAAACCAAACCAAACCAAACCAAACCAAACCAAAACAAAACAAAACCCACCTTTCTGTCAACAACCTGGCTTTGGTGATACTGATAGTTACCCGGGTTCAACTTCAGCAAAACTCAAGGATGTAGGAGAAACTGGTGTGTGTGTGTGTGTGTGTGTGTGTGTGTGTGTGTGTATGTGTGTGTGTGTGTGTGTGTGTGTGTGTGTGTGTATGTGTGTGTGTGTGTGTGTGTGTGTGTTGAGGACTTTCAGTGAAGGAAAAGGATTACACCAAAAAAGGTACAATTCCACCTGTGTTTTTTTCCATCACTGCATATTTTTAAAGTTGAAGGCAGTTTATCATTTGTCCTTAAGAAGTCATTTCAGTTTGTATAACAGCCTTCCTTCAGACAAATTATCATCTGGCTATTCTTATAATTAATCACTTTTTCCATCTAAAAGCATCTATATAACTTTTGACTTAGCGTTATGTAGACACAAATGTAGAACTTGTAAGAAAATGAACTCAAACACATGAACACTTTTTATCAACTATGGGTGTAGTTTGGCTATGATTCACTGTCAGAATGACAGTTTTTCTGTTGAATATTTCCAGATTCTTATTTAAAGTAAGGTGCTTTGAAGACCTAAACACCTGAATAAAAATTGACCTGTTTGCAGGTTTTTAAAAACAACTATGTGGAAACAGAAAATGAATCACATTACATAACAAACACCTTTAGACTAGCTTGGGAGAGGTTATTTCATTTTCACAAAAACAGCTAACTACTGAAACTTAAAGAGACAAAGGGTTTAAGAAACTGCATAATCAGTTTTAGTAATGATCACAACTCAAGTACTACCATGTAGTGTTAACTCCTGAGAACATTGGTAAGTTCTACTCAAAATATCTGTCTAGCCCTATTCAGAGTAATAATAAATCATGATCTGATGCTATGACTAGGCATAGAGCATGCAGTGCATCATTTATTAAGAATCAGCACTCATTAACTTTCAGGAAAAACATAACTAGGTCCTTAAACATTGAGAGATATATGTCTAACATTTTAACCTGCTTCAACTGGTAAAGTTTTCGCACATGGAGTACCTAGAAGTATAGTTTATATCATTTTGTTTCCTAAAATTGTAAAGATAAATATTTTACAACTACAGAAAATATTTTGTATTCACCTCTAACTAGTCAAGGGTAAATGGAGAAAACCTTCTATTATTAGCTTGTACCATATGAAATTGCTGTTTTTGTAGGTCAAAATTAAAACACTGTAGTTAAAAAAATAACTTTTATTCAATCAAAATATGCATCAGGAGCACAGTTTTCTTCCAACAGAATATTAAAGGTTTAAGTTTTATAAAATTCATCATTGGTTAGACCATAAAAATTGTTCACATCTTCTAGTTACTGCAACTCAATTGGGGGATGCGTTGTTTCTTAGAAAAAGCTCCAAACGATAAAGATAGTAGTCTATTGGATAAAGGTCCAGTGACTAAAAAGGACATGACAAAATTTCATAGCCCAAGTCACTTAACTTTGCTTCAGTGGCTTGTGACATGTGAGGTTGAGACCTTGTCTGTAAAACTGTAGCTTCTTGTGCTAACCAAAGGACATTGTTTTTAAATCACATTTTTCATGCATAATTTAAATTTCTTGATAATACACTGCTGCCATCATTGTTTCACTTGGGTTTAAATAATAATAATTATCTCCTTTGTAGATCATCAAACACCCTTCAGAATTTTTTTGGTTGCAATGATAATGGTGGCAACACATCAGGGATACCAGCCTCCAGCGATTGTATAAATGGCCATTAGTTGTCAAGCAGTACACTTTTTTTTTTGGCCACAGGTTATGATCTGCTCCAAAAATGGATTTCCGCTGTTTTGAATCTTAATGAGCACACTTCCAACTGTCTCCATGCTTGATCATCCCTCAAGAGGGTACTCAGGTCCATTTTTATACTTTACCCCAGAGCCAGCGGAAACTTCTTAAGTCTGCTGCAAGCCTTCAATTTGTTGTTTTTGAGTTCAATTTCACTTTGGCTCTTAATTGATCTTTGTTTAAAATGGATTTTGATCTCCCCTAAAGTTCATTTTTGAAATTCAGATCCCCGGAACAAGATTTTTCAAATGAACACTGGGTAGTGCTTTTGCTAGCAGAGCCCTTTAAGGCCAAATTGATATTTCTTCCTTCCTCATTTGTATTATGTCCCAGTTCAAAATTATACAAAAAGTATTCACAATTCTTCTATGGATACTATAGTATTTATTTCTCTGGTAAATAATAAACAATAACAAAACAACTCAATATCAAAGAAAATCAGGAGCATAATACTACAAATAGCACAACTGGAAAAATACGTTATGCCAATTTTACTAATTGCAGTCAATTTTCAACTGATCTAATATTAGCAATTTCATGTGGTAGCATCCACAAGTTAATCAACAAATACTGAGAATTTACTATATGCTAAGATCTGTCTCGTATCTGTACAGATATCCTGAAAACTCACTTGAAAATATGAAATTAATTCCAAAGACCCTAGTGAAGGAAAAATCTGGTGTCATACTATTATTTTTTTAATCCATAAAAATGTATACTTTCCCCCATGTTACAGTTACATATATTATGTTGTGAAGACATGTTAAGTGGATCCTAGATAAACTTTTTGAACTAAATCTTTAATATGGTACAACCAAAGTTCAGCACTAAATATCCATTTTTCAATGATTTTAACTTTTAAAAGTTAAAACTTGCCTACATTTGTTATATACTACTTTGAAGCTTCAAGAGGCTTTTGTTTGTGATAAATAACAACTAACATATATTTATAAATGTTTCTAAAGCACCGCCATATACATGATTCTCATTTTAGATAGCAGGCAAAGACAATACAAAATTTGCTCTAGTAATGAAATGAATTATTAGTAAAAACTTACATGTAAATAATATTTTTGTGTGTGCATTTAAAAAAATAATGTAAAACATTAAAATCTTGTGTCACTGAACTTCTGTAATGCACAGGAAAATAAACCCACTTTAGGTAATACCTGTGATTAAGCATCACTGCCCACTGCAGATGGACCAAAAGTTTCTCTAGTACGCATTAACTGGACATCTTTGTCAGCCATACAGGTATCACAGCCCCACACTGCAGATGCTTCTGCAGTTAAGAGGCCATAGGCTGTTTCAGTCATTCCAGTACAGATCCGATGAAACCATTTCTGACAAGAGGCCTCACATAAGATGGCATCCTGATCATCGTTTACCTCATTTGTACAAATTCCACAAGGATACACTGGGTCAGAAGATGAATGGCCATGACGGCTTGGGTGAAGAGAAGATTTATTGCTTTTCTCAGTGGTGCAGGCATCGGCTGCACCTCTTGGTTGTCGTGGCTTATTCTGCGTCCCATTTGCATGGTTATTGTTTGTTGCTTCAGTGCTACTTGAACGGCTGTTCTCTTGATTTACTGCATTGTTTCGATTAACATTTTTTAATTCAATATTACTCTGATTCACTGTGTCATCCATATTCAAGTGAGGTGGATGAGCAGAGGAATTTTGATTAGCATTTTTGGTTGCTCCTTGAGTAAAGTCTTGTTTTGGGGCTGGTGCTTTTGCTTGACCCCCAAAAGTGTTTGGGGGAGGAATAAAAGAATGATTAGATTCTAATGGAGAAGTAAAATTTGAACTGTTTCCGGGAACAAAATTAGATGCCAAATCAGGGTTAGAAACTTGGCTAATATTCTGTGGAGGAATCTGATTGAAATTTTCAGCAGGATTTTGTCTAAAATGTTGATTAGGCATGTTGACATTCTGACTTAGTGCATTATTATAAGATGGATTACCAAAACTTGAATTATCATGTGGCCCAAAGTTAAAAGCATGAGGTCGATTAAAACCCATGCCCAGAGGATTCTGAGGAAATGGGTGTGGCTGGTTCCTGAGTGCGTAAGGACCACAGTATGGGGAAGACATTCTTGGCGGAACGTGAGGTGGCATTCTGAATGTGCTATAACCTCCAAAGCCAGGATAACCAGGGCCAAGATATGGATTTGACGACGGTAATGGTTTATAGGAAATAGTATTATAGTTGTCATCAAACGGATTAGCAGCCACTAGATGGTCAGAGTTTGGATTCGGTGGTGGAGCATACTCAGACAATGGAGGAAAAGACGGTCCCTGAAATGAGAATGTAAAGTAAAATACATGTTTTTGATCAAATACATTATTAAAATTGTCCTGTTACCTTAATACCTGTGAATCTAGTTTTAGTCAAATTTCTCCTGCAGTGTTACAAACATTTATTATCTTCACTTGACCTTTCAATTATGACTAATGTTTGTATTTAATTATACTTGCTGATAAAAATATTTAGGTTTATTTCATTTATGAAAGAAAATAAGGTATGATTTTCTGAGCTCAAATCCATTGTAACTCCAGACCCCAAAAGTATTTAACTTTCAAAAGAAGCTTCATTATCCTAATTTTCATTTAATATGCTTACCTATAACTACAATCTTTCACTTATATACTAAAGCAGTCTAACCTAAAATATCTTTTATACACCAAATAGTCATAAAATTAAATAACAGGCCGGCGCGGTGGCTCAAGCCTGTAATCCCAGCACTTTGGGAGGCCGAGGCGGGTGGATCACGAGGTCAAGAGATCGAGACCATCCTGGTCAACATGGTGAAACCCCGTCTCTACTAAAAAAATACTAAAAATTAGCTGGGCATGGTGGCGTGTGCCTGTAATCCCAGCTACTCAGGAGGCTGAGGCAGGAGAATTGCCTGAACCCAGGAGGCGGAGGTTGCGGTGAGCCGAGATCGCGCCATTGCACTCCAGCCTGGGCAACAAGAGCGAAACTCCGTCTCAAAAAAAATAAAAATAAAAATAAATAAATAAATTAATTAAATAACAACAATCAGAATCTAAAGTTTTCCCCTAGCTTAACTTCAGGGAGATACAATTAAAGTATTCTCAAAACATTAAGCTCTGGGCCTCAGACTGAAAAAATGAACTGCCGTTTTAGTCATACTCCAAGTTTAACAGATGGTGGTCAAAGTGATAAAAAGGTCAGTAATCTGTACACACATACTTACCAGTAGCCTTTACCATAAAAAAAGTACTTCAAATTTATAAAGAATAAAACTGTGAAAGGCTATATATATAATTGCTTGTTAAAATCACAAGTTATAGCAAAAAGAGGCCTCCATCATGACTGCTTCATGATAGGCACGTAATACTGAATTACCATTATAGTTGAACAGTTACTTCATGTTAGAATTGTTACTATATATTTTTAAATATTTTATACAACTATAGGCATTCGTACCCTTTAAAAACTTTTAAATTAGGTTTAAGAACAAGCATTTTAATTTGTTTGAGACAGTCTCGTGCTGTCACCCAGGCTGGAGTGCAGTGGTGCGATCTCAGCTCACTGCAACCTCCACTTTCCAGGTTCAAGCAATTCTCATGTCATAGCCTACCGAATAGCTGTAAGAGTGTTCCACCACACTCAGCTATTTATTGTATTTTTAGTAGAGACAGGGTTTCCCCAGGTTGGCCAGTCTGGTCTCAAACTCCAGGCCTCAAGTGATCCACCCACCTCGGCCTCCCAAAGTGCTGGGATTACAGGCGTTAGCCCCCACACCCAGTCTAAGAACAAGCATTTAATTAATTAATTAATTAATGAGATGAAGTTTTACTCTTGTTGCCCAGGCTGGAGTGCAATGGCACAATCTCGGCTCACTACAACCTCTGCCTCCCAGATTCAAGTGATTCTCCTGCCTCAGCCTCCCGAGTAGCTGGGATTACAGGTGTCCACCATCACACCTAGCTAATTTTTTGGGTGTGCGTATTTTTAGTAGAGACACAGTTTCTCCATGTTGGTCAAGCTGGTCTCGAACTCCCGACCTCAGGTGATCCGCCCACCTCGGCCTCCCAAAGTACTGGGATTATAGGCACGAGCCACTGCGCCTGGACAAGCATTTTAATTTGTCCACTCACACTTCCTTTTTGTTAAATCTACTGTATGCCTACTGTGTGATAATAGCCACTAGTTACAGACTTAAAAAAAAAAGTATAATCACTGCAGAATTCACTAATGGATCTGAATGCGGATATGAAACAAAACTTATGACCAAGTTTAAATTTACCTCAACAGCCTAATCATGCAAGCAAAGAAAAATGATTATTAAAGAAAATGTCAATTTACCTGTGTATTTGCCTTGCGTTTTTTCTTATCTGGGCTTCCTAGTTGTACACCTGGTCCTCCTAACCCATCCAGTCCACTATCACCACCTAAAAAACAAATTCAGATATTTTCCACTTATAAGTCAAGTTATTTTTTGTATCTCAAAGTAATACCTATTATATTTACCTGTTAATGTTTTCTATTTTTGTTAGACAAGAGCAATACTAAGCTTTCATTACCTTTATTTTCCAAAAAGTCTTTCCCATAGTTTCAGCCAGAAATAGCCATTTCATTACTGCTCCCATATTTATTATTCTTTCAGAGAAAAAGAAAGTCTCTCTCTCACTCTCAAACCTTTAGTAATCTAGTTTCCTGTTTCAGAGGCCACCACTATTACCAGTTTCTGGTCTACGTTTCCAAAGATAACCTAGATATATTCAAGCATATTTTTTTTTTTTTTGGCGGGAAGGACACAAATAATAGACATACACTGGTGTGTACCTTGCTTTCTTAGTTGAAGATTATTCCATATCACTACATTTAGAACTGCCTCATTTTCTAATAACTGAGTAGTATTCTATAGTGTGACTACACCATGATTCATTAAACTAGTACCCTCTGTATTGATGAATGCGTGTTTCCAAACCTCTGCTGTAGCTGCAATAAAAATCCATGTATAAATGCCTTTAGAGAGATTTACAAGTAGTTCCTATTATTATGGCATCAAAAGTATGTGCCTTTTAATTCTTACAGATACTGTTTAAATGCAACAATGTTTCCAATTATTGTTTTCTCAACAGTATAAGATCAAGGAAAGCAAAAGCTTGGCTATCAATCTAAGAGGTTAAAAAAGTTTATGAAAGGAATTTTTCCAGTTTTAAAAAAAATTTTTATTATGGAGAATTCTGAACATATACAACATGGATAGAGGAATAAAATTAACCCCATATACCTATCACTGAGCCCTAATAACCATCCAGTCACATTCAATCTTGTGTTTTCTATTTATTTAAAGTTCTAGGGTACATGTGCAGATAGATTCCTCAAGGAACAATCTTGTGTTTCAACACCACCTACACCTCTCTCCATCCAATATGACTTTGAAAAAAATTTCAGACATCATTTTATTTGGAAATATTTTAGATGTATTTCAAAAAACTAAGAACTTAAAAAAAAAAAACCCGGCCAGGCGCGGTGGCTCAAGCCTGTAATCCCAGCACTTTGGGAGGCCGAGGCAGGTGGATCACGAGGTTGAGAGATAGAGACCATCCTGGTTAACATGGTGAAACCCCGTCTCTACTAAAAATACAAAAAATTAGCTGGGCATGGTGGCACGTGCCTGTAATCCAAGCTACTCAGGAGGCTGAGGCAGGAGAATTGCTTGAACCTAGGAGGCGGAGGTTGCGGTGAGCCAAGATCGCGCCATTGCACTCCAGCCTGGGTAACAAGAGCGAAACTCTGTCTCAAAAAAAAAAAAAAAAAAAAACCCAAAATACAATGCCACTCTCACCACTAGAGAAATTAACAATAATCCTTCATATAATTTCATACCCAATCCCAATATCTCATAGTATCTGTATAGTTTGTTTAGATGAGAATCGAAATATGGTCCATAGATTACAACTGGTTGACATGTCTTTTAATTGATGGATTTCCCTTCATTACACTTTTTTTTCTTGCAGTGTATTAATTGAAAGAAGCAGGTTGATTATTGTTCCAATTATTATGCTATCATCTTTTAGCTCCAACCCCTTTTAGTGACACTGGGACTGGGACTTTACAAATTACATTTTTCTTTCACTAGACTTTTCTCACAGCTCTAGAGGGATACTTGAAGGCCAGGGGAGGTGACAGAGAATGTCTGCTCCTCCTGTCTGCTTGCTTTTCCTATCTCTATCGTCCCAACAGGACTTCTCTCTGGCACTGGTAGTTCATCCCAAACCAGCTTAAACATGTCTTCTCAGACGTATTAGTACCAGCTGGGCAGCACCTCAATCTCCAAGTCTGACTCCAAGCTCTACAGAATCTATATTCCAAGCCTCTAGGTTCTCATAACGCCAACTTCATTTCTTTGTTTACTAAGTCCCACACGCAGAAGTTGCTTCCTGCAGTTATTTTTCCATGCTACCTCACTTTGCTTTTTTTCTTTTTGCCTAATTTCTTTGCTTAATACTTGCTTAATTTCTTTTTTTTTTTTTTTTTGAGACGGAGTTTCGCTCTTGTTACCCAGGCTGGAGTGCAATGGCGCGATCTCGGCTCACCGCAACCTCCGCCTCCTGGGTTCAAGCAATTCTGCCCCAGCCTCCTGAGTAGCTGGGATTACAGGCACGCACCACCATGCCCAGCTAATTTTTTGTATTTTTAGTAGAGACGGGGTTTCACCATGTTGACCAGGATGGTCTCGATCTCTCGACGTTGTGATCCACCCGCCTCGGCCTCCCAAAGTGCTGGGATTACAGGCTTGAGCCACCGCGCCCGGCCGCTTAATTTCTTATATAAAATTACATTACAAATTTATATTACATTAAATTGTGAGTGTGATTTATGTTTTCTAGCCTAGAATGATATATCTGGATTTTGCTGATTGTATGCCCTTGATATAGTTTAACATGGTCCTTATTTCTTATAAATTGGTACTGGGTCTAGACCAGCGGTCCCCAACCTTCTTGACACCAGGGGCCAGTGGTTGGGGGTGGGAGGTGGGGATGGTTTTGGGATGAAACTGTTCCACCTCAGATAATCAAATACTAGATTCGCATAAAGGGCACAAAACCTAGATCCCTCACATGCGCATTTCACAATAGGGTTTATCCTCCAATGATAATCTAATGCTGAGACTGATCTGACAGGAGGCAGAGCTCAGGCAGGAATGCTAACTCACCAGCCACTCACTTTCTGTTGTGTGGCCTGGCTCCTAACAGGCCATGGACTTGTACCAATCCGTGGCCCAGGGGTTGAGGAACCCTGGTCTAGACTACAGGCTTGATCAGATTCAGATTTCTGTTTTTTGCAAGGCTGCTCCATAGGTGATGATCTGTTTTTTCATTAGAAGGCACAAAATTTCTGGTTGATTTTTTTTAGCAGTTATATTAGTTTTCTATTGTTGTATAACAAATTACCACATATTTGGTCACTTAAACCGCTGTCCACTTAAACAGAAGTAGAATGAACACCTCCTAAATCATTCTATTATGCCAATATTACCCTGATACCAAAGCTAGACAAAGAGATCACAAAGAAAAAAAACAAACAAAAAAACTACAGACTAACATCTCTTAAGAATACAGATGCGGCCAAGTGTGGTGGCTCATGCCTATAATCCCAACACTGTAAGAGGCTGAGGCAAGGGACTGCTTGAGCCCAAGAGTTTGAGACCAGCCCAGAAAACAGTGAGATCCCATCTCTATGTTAACATTAAAAAAAAAATAGCCAGGTATGGTGGCACATGCCTGTAGTCCCAGCTACTCAGAAGGCTGAGGTGGGAGGATATCTTTTTTTTTTTTTTTTGAGGCGGAGTTTTTACTCTTGTTACCCAGGTTGGAGTCCAATGGCGCGATCTTGGCTCACCACAAACTCCGCCTCCTGGGTTCAGGCAATTCTCCTACCTCAGCCTCCTGAGTAGCTGGGATTACAGGCACGCACCACCATGCTCAGCTAATTTTTTGTATTTTTAGTAGAGATGGGGTTTCACCTTGTTGACCAGGATGGTCTCGATCTCTTGACCTCGTGATCCACCCACCTTGGCCTCCCAAAGTGCTGGGATTACAGGCTTGAGCCACCGCGCCCGGCCCTGGGAGGATATCTTGAGCTCAGAAGTTGGAGGCTGCGGTGAGCTGTGAACATGCCACTGCAATCCAGCCTGGGCAACAGAGCAAGATTCTATCCAAAAAAAGGAACAAAGATGCAAAAATTCTCAACAAAATACTAGCAAAACAAATTCAGCAGAATATTAAAAAAATAATACATCATGACATTTCCCAGAAATGGAAGGTTGATTCAACATATTAAATCAACTTAATATGCTATAATAAAGAGAAATACACATGATCATTTCAATAGATGCAGAAAAGCATTTGACAAACTCTATTACCAAGGTAGGGCCTAAGTGGCTGATAAGAACCAGCTGCGGGCCAGGCACAGTGGCTCACACCAGTAATCCCAGCACTTTAGGAGGCCAAGATGGGCAAATCACTTGAGGTCACGGGTTTGAGACCAGCCTGGCCAACATGGCAAAATTCTGTCTCTGCTAAAAAAACAAAAATTAACCAGGTATAATGGCGGGCACCTGTAATCCCAGCTACTTGGGAAGCTGAAGCAGGGAGAATTGCTTGAACCTAGGAGACAGAGGTTACAGTGAGCTGAAATCATGCCACTGCACTGCAGCCTGGGTAACAGAGAGAGACTCTGTCTTGAAAAAAAAAAAAAAAAAAAGAGGAGGAAGCTGTGGACCATGGCTCTCAGGGAGAATGAAAATGGCGAGTCAATTAAGCACCTTCAACTGAAATACCTAGCTTCTCACATTGCGACTGACCAGGTGAACAACTTGACCCCCAGAGAATGAAGAAAAATGAGGTAGGGCAACTGCCCACCCAGGAGCGGCACAGAGCCCAAAAAAAAAAACAACCCACCTCCAGCCAAGGGAATTAGTGAGTGATTGCGTGACCCCATCCAGGAAACCACGCTATTACCATGGATCTTTGCAACCCATGCATCAGGAGATTCCCTCATGAGCCCATACCACCAGGGCCTTAGGTCCGATATACAGAGCTGTGTATGCAGAGTCTTAACAGAGCAGCCACTCAGGCACACACACAGACCCAGGAGTTTGACATACTTTGGCCCCAGAAATCCCTGTAAAGATGATTTAAAAAAAGAATCCTGCAAGGCAGGAAGTCCACCCATACATTCCCTAGGAAGGTGGCTGAATCCATGGGAGCCAGGCAGCATTGTTCTGCAGAACCCACCTCTATGGCACCTCCCAAGTTAAGATCCACTGACTTGGAATTCCAGACACCCTGCACCAACAGATGGGAGACTGGCTGAGACAGAGCAAGTTCCTGAGGGAGGTGTGGCCACCATCTCTGCAGTTCGGTTGACTCAACTGTTC